ACAAGGTCCTGAGTTCAATCCCCAATACAAAAAAAAAAAAAAGCCATGTATAAAATATTTCTCAGAAGCATAAAATGAAAATTCTTTGGGTGGTGGTACTAGGGATCAAACTCAGAGCCTTGTGACAAACTACACCCCAGCCCCCTAAAAATATCATTTATATTCATGAATATATACAACACACACAGAAAAAAATTATAAGGAAAAATTCCAGTTTGTGAAAGAAAATGGTTAATGCTGGGTAAGATCTAGTAAGGGAAAGAGATAAATAAAAGCAATCTAGTGTTATACCTACAACAGATTGTGAAAGATGTGAAACAGAATATTATTTATGAGAACATACCATGTGTGAGGCAGTGTCTAATCTGTTTTTGTTTTGTTTTTGTTTTTCTATACTTCTCAAAAATAGGCCTTGAATTCACAGGGATCCTACTGCCTCAGCCTCCTGAGTGCTGGGATTATGGCATGAGCCACCATGCCCAGTGTATCTTCTTCTAATCCTAAATACTCTGGCAGGTGATTAGTTATTCTCATTTTACAGTAGAGGAATCTCAGATTAAGAGATTAATAAACAACTTGCCCAACCAAGAGGCCAATAAAGGGCAAGGTTCAAACCTTCCTACCAGGATCAAGGCTATGCTCCACCTCCTCTCACGACGCCTTGTTCCATGTAAAGAGCTGCCACCTTCCCCCCACTTCCATCCAACTACTTGGTGCTTTCTATGTTATCGATGCAACAGACTTCCACAGGCTTGACCATTTTCTGATGAAACCCCAAGTAACAGCAGGAAAATGAAATAAGTCACAATTCATTTGCTCTATGTTAACTGCATAATTCCCACAACCATTAAGAATAACATTAAACCTTGTGTAAAGCACACACCTATAACCCCAGCACTCTGGGAGGCTGAGGCAGGAGGACTGAAGTTCAAGCCCAGCCAGGACAAGACCCTGTCTCAAAATAAAAAATAAAGAGATACAGAATGCAAAGGCCCTGGACTCAATCCTTAGTGCCACAAAAAGGGAAGGAGTGGGGGAGAATAGCATTAATGGCAGCTCAGGAGACCTCAGGTACAGAGAAGACCTGTATTTATGTACAAATAACAATGAGTAAAACGTATCCTGTTCCTTTTCCACTTAAAAACAGGTACAAGGGTTGAGGAAAAAAAATAATAATAATGATAAATATTTTTAAAAGAATGAAAAAGCAAAAAAGTAAACCAGTCATAGACTTTGATGCTTTAGTAGTGAACTGTTGTTAGGAGCAGACTAATTGCAACACTCCTCTGAAGAAGCAAACACACACCCAGTATGAGTCTTGGTATGCCAAGAATCCGCTGCCATAAAATATGGTGGAACACAAAGAACTTGATCTTTGTACCTGAAAGAAGGGGAGAGTCAGGGACAGCTTTAAAGAGGAAGTGATACCTCAGCTGTCTTTAAATAGTAACAGTATTTTCTGGGGGTTACATTCCTTTCAGAGAAAAAAGCACTTTGGTGTTTTTGAAAACAGAAAGTAGTTCAGTATGCCTAGAGCTGTGGTGCTGAACCTATGTATGGCAGGTGTGTTGTTTTTCTTTTAAGCCAAAAGATGTTAATGTATGAGTTGTTTTTTTTGAAAACTAAATCCTCAGAATTCAGGTTTATTTGCAGTGTTGGTATTTTGTAACAAATAAGTGGTTTGGGGTTGCAGTTTGGGCACTCCTCTCTAAAAGGTTGGCCATCACTGGTAAGTAAGTCAACAGATAAATCTTGGGAGCAAAGAACTACACAGGATGACAGAGGATCTTGTGAGCCAGATACATAATTTAAGAAAGATCTGCTGGACACAATGCCCCATGTCTGTAATTCTAGCACTTGGGAGGCTGAGGCAGGAGGATCACTGTGAGTTCAAGACCAGCCTGAACTACATAGCAAAACCTTGTCTCAAAAAACAAACGAAAGAAAGATCTGCTAGAAGTGTGGGCAATGGACTGAATGAACATAGCACTACTGCTTAGGAGAAAATCTTCATTAAAGTGAACACTGCAACTGGGTCTGAAAGAGTAGTTTTGTAGATTAAAGTAACGATGGTAATAATAGGATTGCAAGTTTCAATATGGTCTCCAAATTTAAAAAGGTGTGTGGGGGGATTTAGTTCAGTGGTTCCACCACGTGCCTCAAAAGCACAAGGTCCTGAGTTTGATCCCTGGTACCAAAAAAACCCCTACAAAAACAAAAAGATGTGGCGGGGAGAGGAGGAGGCAGGGATGTAACTCAGTATGAAGATTCTGGGTTCAATACCTATTACCAATAATTGAATGAACGAACGAATGAATGAGCCCTTGGTCACATAGCTAGCAAAGGAGGGAAGCAATGTAGCTAGAGTCCCCGCTCAAACAAAGTGGATATAGAGAAAAGTCACATGCAAAGGCAAAACAAACTGGGCAAAAGGCGAGCTGGGCATGGTAGTGCACACCTGTAATATCAACACTCAGGAGGCAGAGGCAGGAGGATCGCTGCAAGTCCAAGGCCAGCCTGGGCTACACAGTCAGTTCAAGCCAGCCTGAACCACACAGCAAGACCCTGTCTCAAAAAAAAAAAGAAAAAAAGAAAAAAAAAAGGGGTGAAGTCAGGGAATGAATTATCTAGTGGAAATGAACATAGAAAATATGTTGTAAGCTGTGCTAGGAAGTTTGACCCTTCATTCTTCCACAGGCATGAAGTTTTTTTAGTAAGAGAAAGACATGTCTAGACTTGTGTTCCAGTGAGATGTGTCAGGCTATAATTTGGGGATAAAGCCGGAGCCATACAGGACCTAGAAGCCACCAAAGAATTATTGGAAGAATCCAGAAAAGAGAGCATCACCAAAACAAAAGACTTAAAAGATTTTTTCCCCAAAAGGATTTGGTGAATGAATAGATATGAGAGGTGAGAAAGTCCAGAAAGACTCAAAGGTTCCTATCTCAAGAACTCGATAAACAATAGTTAAGCACAAAAGAAGATGGAAGAGCAGTGGATCTAGGAGGGAGAAAATGAGTTTGATTTGCTAGTTTGGGGCACCTGTAACAATTCTGGGTAAATACATCTAACAGGAAGTGATGGACAAGTCTGAAGCCCATGAGAAATGAGCTACAGATATAAACTGGGAAGTTATCAAGGCACAGATTTCAAAGGCATGATGCATAAGGGAATCACACAAGAAGAATCTACAGACTGGGGAAAAAGTTAAGTTTGGACACCCAATCAACATTACATTTAAGGACTTATAAAAGAAAATAGATATTAGCAGAAGAGAAAAGGATCACAGTCACTAAAGGAGGGTTTTTAAAAGTGGGTGGCCGGGCTGGGGATTTAGCTCAGTGGTTCCGTCGCTTGCCTTGCAAGCGCAAGGACCCGAGTTTGATCCCTGGTACCAAAAAAAAAAAAAAAATGGGTGGCTAACAGCCCAACTGACAGAATTGCTATGAGGCAGTTTTGGGGTTTTTTGGCTTTTGTGTTTGTGTGTACTAATGGGGACTGAAGCCAGGGCTTTTGCTGAGTTACATCCCCAGTCGTTTTTGTTTTTTTTTATTTTGAGACAAGATCTCACTAAATTACCCAGGCTGGGCTTTTGTGTTTCTTCCCACGTAGCTGGGATTACAGATGTGCACCACTGCACGTGGCTCAGTGGATTTTTTTAAAGCCTCACGCTAGCCAGGCACAGCTGTGCACATCTGCAATCCCAGCTACTCAGGGGGCTGGAGCAGGAGAGCTGCAAAAATAAAAAGGGATAGGGACACAGCTAGCAGGCGAGAGGCTCTGGGTTCAAGCCCTGTACCACACACAGAAAGTCCACTGAAATCAGCATGTAAGAAATCAGTGGTAACCTCTGTTGGGCTAATTACAGCAGTCATAATGATAGTGAACTCAAATTTAAATGAGAAATGAGGACAAAGACAGGCATGGTGGCCCACACCTGTGATCCTAGCACTCGGAAGGCTGAGACAGGAGAACAGCTGTGAGTTTGAGGCCAGCCTGAGCTACATAAGGAGTTTAAGTCCAACCTGAACTGTAGAGCGAGACCTTGTCTAAAAAAAGAAAGAAATGAAGACATACAGATTATCAACAAGAACAAAGTAACAGCTAACAATTATAAAGTCCTTACTTTGGGTGAGAAGCTATTCTAAGTGATTCTGCCCTATTATCTCATAGAATCTACTTTTTAAAAAATTCCCATGTTTACTCAAAATTTTTCTTTTAAATCTCCATGTTGAAAAAAAACCTTCCATTGCTTTCTTGGTTTTACAGCAACATTATCCATCCACTAAATGCCAGCAGCACCCCTCCCTCCCAGTTGTAACAACAAAAATGTTTCCAGCCACTGCCAATCGACCCCAAAGAAGTAAAACTGCCCCTGGTTGGAAATCACTAGGTTAAAGTCAGACACCTTGGAGAAAGCAAGCTCTGGAGGACAGACTAGGACCAAATATGCAGACAACGCCTTGTACAAAGTGCCAGTAACTCTGCTTCGTTGCCTGTTAAACAAAAAATTACCTTTATGTCTGGATCTGACAGCTGGTTCTTCAACAACTCAAAGTCATTTGTTTCACCCTGAACAAGAAGGGGATAAAAATTAAATGTTTGCTGTGGTTGCCTGTTAAATAACAACAGAACTTTTTTTTTGTTTTTTAAGACAGGGTCAAACTCTGTAATTCAGGCTGGTCTTGAGCTCTCTGTGTAGCTCAGGCTGGCCTCAAACTTGAGGTGATTCTCCTGCCTTAGCCTCCCAAGTGCTAAACAGCAGGACTTCTATCTATACCTTAACATCTAATGAAATTGCAAAAGGAACCTTGTAATTTTCACACATCCTTTGTGATAACAAAATCATGACTATAATAACTTTAAAACTCATGTTAGTCGAGCCAGGGGTATTGGAGAAAAATGCCATTCACATTTAACTATAGTTGTATACTGACATATTATAGTTGATATTCTTTTTTTTTCCACAAGCAGCACTGGGGATCAAACTCAGGGACTTCACACTGAGCTACACCCCAGCCCTTTTTTAATGTGCTACCACACCTGACTACAACTCATTTTATTATGTGTATTCTTTTTTTAATTTTATTTTTTGGTGCTAGGATTAATCCCAGGGCCTATATAAAATAGGCACATGCCCACCACTGAGCTGACATTTAGTCAATTCCTAGGCTGATCTTTAGTGTATCAGCTACCAGGTGATATTATGAGCAACAAAAACTAAACCTCACACATTATCTCTTACCTTTTTGTATTTCAGCAAGACTTCTCTCACAGTTCCACCAAACCGAACAGCTTTTCTTGGAGGAGAATTGAAGAACTCATTCTTTAATGAAAGTGTATCTGAAATCCTATAAAACCAAGATTACCAAGCTATTACATTTATGACAGTGAGTAATACAGCCAGGGATGGGGATGGAGGTCACTAATACAGCACTTGCCAGGAATGCATGCGGCCATGGGTTCAATCCCCAGAACCACAGAAAAATAAAATAACCAACATTTATTGAACCAAGATCATTCAGTGAGCCTACAAGGTGTGACAAAAATGTATGGGTAAATGTTTACAAAAAATTATTATCATTAAAGACAAATTGTCATTAATCACCCTCAAAATACTCTTGCTTTGAATACACTTATGCCATCATCCTTGCCACTTTCTGAAGCAGTTCTGGGAAACTTGTTTTTCTGAGGTGTGACTAAAAAAAGAACACAGTGATTGCCACTGCTGAGTACTGTATAACAAAAAAGCAGGCTTATAAAAACATTAAGGTGTCCTCATCCACCTTATTCACTGGATTTGACACCATACAACTTCTGGCTCTTCCCCAAAGTCAAAATGACCATTAAGGTAAATATTTTGAATTGATTCATGACACAAAGGCAGTCACAACAGCAGAACTAAAGACACAAACAAAGGCTTTCCAAAACTGCTTCAGGAAATGGCAAGAATGGTGGGATAAGTTTGTTTAAAGCAATGGGGAGTGTTTTGAGGAGGACTGATGGCAATGTGTCTTTTTTTTAGACAAAGTCTCACTTTGTAGTTCAGGCCGCCCTCAAACTTGCTATGTAGCCCAGGCTGGCCTAGAACTCAAGGTGATCCTCCCACCTCAAACTCCTGGGTGCTGGGATTACAGGAGTGTATCACAAGTCCAGTGGATATGTATCTTTTACTTTAATAATACCTTCTATATTTAAACATTCACCGTATTTTTTAATCACAGCATGTATGCTTCCTATAGCTTCTTAAATGGTCTCCCTTTATCCTCATTATCCCCCAATAATCCATTCGCCCCGGGATAATTCCTTCACTCAGTGGAAGTAGTCTTCCAGATGCACTTACAAAAAGAAGCCAGATTTTGACATTAATCACACAAGAACTTACATCTGGCCCCTCCCTACCTCTCTGACCTCATCTCCAACCACTTGTTTTACTACAGGCAGTGTCCTTTCTGTCTTCAAACCTGTCAATCTGGTTCCCATTTCACTTACTCTTCACGCTATCAGAAGCAATCCTCTCTGACGTATGCAAAGTTAGATTCTTACCTTCATTCAAGCTGAAGTCCAAATGTCAGAGGCCTTCCCACTAGAAATCTACTGTACCCATCCTCTCCCCTACCCCTTCCATTACCCTGTTGTTTTGCTGTACTTCTTCACAGCACTTACATCTAAAACTATCTCGTTGGCTTATTTATTGGCCAATTCACTGTCTCTCACACTCACATACACTGTAAGGTCTGTTGAGAAAAAGACTGTTAGTCTCTGGAGAGACCTGTCCCCAGTGTCTAACACTGAGAGTAAATACTTAATGGTAATTGTGAATGTTATGCTAAGGGTTTTACAAGGTCTGCTTTATTTAAACACAGAAGGTTAGTGGAAAAAAAAAAAAAGACAGCATCCTCCTAACTCTGAGAATTAAACTCCGAAGTGTTTTAGGAGAGTTAGAGAATTTAAAAGTTAAGCAGGATAAAGACTACTGTATTAAATACGTATGTCAAAAGAAATTTCAAAACAGTATTTTAGGTTTTTAGGATCTGCCATCAATGACAGCACTCGGTTGAAAAATTCGTGGTCCAGAAAATTCCTTCCAAATCTAGACTAAGACGCGGAAGGGAAGAGTAAAGCAGCACAAGGCAATGCCCAGGTCTGGGACTCGGTGAGGGATCCAGTGTGGTGGGAGACTCATTTGTGCCCATTTCCTTTACCTACGAAGGGGGAACGGGCTCACTCTCGCGAAGCTGAGATGACTCTCTATTCCCTGCCCCCACCACACTCAAATGCGTGCACTTTATCCACACTCCATTAGCTTTGTCTCAGACGCTCAAATCCGCTCCCCCAACTCCACTCCCAGATCCCAGTCAGAAGAAGCCCGAATTTTACCCAGTCCTTGACGCGCCCAGCGTTGCTACCGCAGGTGCCGAAGCTGGCGCCTCCGCGGGTAACCGCGTGCGAAGAAGCGGAGCTGCCATTCCTCCTGAGAAGCGGGCCAGCTGGGCCTCGCTCAGGAAATCATGCTCCTTCCAGCTCCCGCCTCTGTCCCGGAAGTCGCTCTTGCGAGGCGCGGCCTTCAGCCAATCAGGTCCCCACATGTGACAACCCCCCCCCCCATGGTCCGCAAGCTAGAGCGCCACCAAAGCTTTCTCCGCCCCTCCCCGCCTGAGGCCCTTCTTTCACCTGGGAGGACTTTCCTGGCTCAGCGCGGGGCCTACACTGGAATGTCCGAGAAGGGCTAAGCGGTGGCTCGGCTCCCGCGGTTATCAGTGATTTGTTTTGTTTTGTTTCCCCACCACTGGGGATTGAACCTAGGGTCTTCGCACTGAGCTACATCCCTGCCCTTTTAAAAAAATTTTGTGTCTTGAGACAGGGTCTATCTAATTTGCCCTGGCTGGGCTCCAATTTAGTTTTCTCCCTGCCTCAGGCTCCCACAGCGCTGGAATTAAGGGCGTGCGCCCCCAAACCCGCCTAGTATTAGGTTTTGGGGAGGCAAGCCTCCTCAATCAAACCGAAGGAACGAGAGACCATATTTTTAACCCAAACTCACAGAGGAACGGGATTCGTACTCGACTTGTGACCCAGAGCCTGGGCTCTGTACCCACTCTCCATCCTTACAGATACCCAGGATAATCTTATCCTCTCAGAAACGCTGTGCGCTCCCAGGGACTGACCCAGCAGCCTCAGGCTGTGGTGAAAAATCAGAGGCATTACCCCTTAAACATACTTTTCTCTCTCCGACCCCCGTGTGGAGATCAAAACTGGGGCCTGGTGCATGCCAAGCAAGTGCCTTACCACTGAAATCCAAACATAAATGGGTAAAGAAACAAAAGTCTGTCAGACCATCAAAGCAGAGAAGGGTTTTCCTGGCAAAGGGAGCAGCAGAGGCCAAAGTTTGGGAACTGCCACTCCCCTTAGTTCTTTTTTGAGACAGGGTCTCGTTACACAGTTCAAGATGGCCTTGCACTCGCTGTGTATCCCAGGCTGGCCTTGAATTTGCAGGGATCCTCCTACATCTCCAGTGAGTGCTGGGATTACAGGTGTGCGACACCACACCCTGCCCCTTGGTACTCAAGGCTAAATGGAACTTTGGGAAACTGTAGAGAACTACTCATACATAAACCAGTTACAGTAACTTGTTAAATATAAAGCACAGTTCTGTTGTGCAACACTGTAAAATCAGTAACTTTCTTCTGTCTCCATCTGGTACCAGTATGGAGTGGCTGTAGAATGTCGCGCAGAAATCATCAATGTCACAAGAGTAAAGGAAATAATTGCATTGTAGCTCACAAGGGAGCTTCAAGATAGCTGTTTTTGCAGAAATCTCTCTCCCTCCACCCCCAACAAAGCAAAGTAAAAATAAATAAATACAATCCATAGGTGCAATTCATGTGAGTAGAAGTGTAACTAAACTGTTAAGCTATTCAACAATTACACTTTAGTCTTTCATTTTAAAAGTCGGACGTCTCACTATCAAAGATATAAGAAATGTTTGGCTTGTTGTGTGATGCAATAGTTCTTTCAAGTCATGTTGTGTTTGGATTTGGAGTTGGGACAGGGAGAGCAGCAGCCATGTCAGCTATATGCTCAAACATCCACACAATGATGGAGAATAATTTCAAAACCTTACAAAGCTGAAATTCAAGGAGTTATGGAAAACTGCCTTCATGGTCTTTGGCAGAGGACTGGTTGGTAAAGCCATTCACTTCACTTCACTTCACTGTTTTCAGAATGTTGTCTCCATGTTGCCACAAGTATTGCAGGTAACACAGTATATTCATATGAAGAGCAATCTTGGGGCTAAAATGCCTTCATTCTTTGCACCTCTTTTACAAGTCCTTACATTTAATTACTAATTGATAAGCAGCAGCTTCCTATGTAAAGTAGGAGACTGCCACATTTTTGCTATCATGATCGGCTGGGCCTGCTGCTGTTCCTAGTAAGATATTCTGAATTCCATTTTAACAATAAAGCTTGATTTAACAAAAAATAAATAAAAAATAAAAGTCAGATGTATCCAAAAGAATGTTAATGTGTTTTTTTAATGAACACCTGGGAATATACCATTCAATTTCAGAAACAGTGCTACGCACTGTGGGTGGTACACGCGTGTAATCCCAGCTGCTCTGGAGACTGAGGCAGGAAGATGGCAAGTCTGAGGTCAGCCTGGGGAATTTAGTGGTACTCTGTATCAAGATAAATAAAAAGGGCTAGGAAATGTAGCTAAATACAAGGCCCTGGGTTCAGTCCTCAACTCCCGGAGGAAGGGCGGGACATGAATCAATACTATCAGAAGCTCCCTCTGTGCTCCTCCCAGATCCCATTTGCTCCTTGCTTTCCTCCCAAAAGTAATCACTATGCTGTCATTTTATTAAGATGATTTTTTAAAAATTTATTTTACCTGGCAAGTGCAAGGTCCGGAGTTTGATCCCTGGTACTGAAAAAAAAATTAATTTTAAATTTCCTTTAGGTAAACACCATATCTCTGTTCCTAAATAAGGCACTATTTTTTCCTTCCTTCCTCCCTGCCTCCTTTCCTTTCCCTCCCTTTCTTCCTTTCTTCCTTCCTTCTGTGTGTGCACCTAGGGGTTGAACCCAGAGCCTTGCAAAGGCACGTGCTCCATGGCTGAGTTACGCACCTAGCCAACAATGTACTATTAATTTTGCTTGTCTTTATAAAAGACAAATAATGATAAAATTATTTCCATGCTACATTATACAGCTATTTGTTTTCGATAGCATGCTTCTGAAGTCCACTTCCTTGTTGTATATAGCTATGCTTTATTTTCTCTACCATATTACATGGTATTATTTGCATATACAAGACAAAAAATTTTTTTGCCATAGTGGCTGTGCCAATACACACTCCTGGCAATTTCCTTTTCATAAGCTTGAGCACAGCTGCTTATTTTTGAAAAATACAAGCAAGACTAGACTGCCATGTTAAAAATAAAATTCTTTTTAAATGTAACCTTGAACATAATATAAGAAAAAAACCTAGATCAAGGGCTGGATATGTTGCCCCATAGTGGAGTAACATAGCATAAGGCATTGCCTTCAATACCCAGCCCTGAAAAAAAAAAAAAACCACTTAAAATGAAATAACATAATTCACTACTGAAGTTCTTTAGGCATGTCCCTTCCTTGGGCCTCTATCCAGTTACCTCATTCCATGGGCCAACTCATCTTCCTGGGATAAAAATCTCTTTTATCCAGTTTTGCTTTCCCCAGAGTCCCATTTTCCTTTGTCACCAGTCTTAACTGTAGAAAAATAAAAATCTTTCCCTCCAAAATTCAATAACAAAAAAAGCAAACAAGTGTTAATGTGTTAATTCCAGAGACACAGCCTTGCCCACAATGTAGCAGTCTATTTACATCATGCATTGCAGTTGTTGGTGACTGTTCTGAACGTCATCCAGAATGAATTTTTGCTTTACTTTCATATACTCAGAAGACCTATTAAACTGTGTTCTCAAAAGAGTAGTCATGGGCCAGCGATTTAGCTCAGTGGTTCTGCCGCCTGCCTCGAAAGTGCAAGGTCCTGAGTTCGATCCCCAGTACCAAAAAAAAAAAAAAGAGTAGTCTTCCTTGAGGGATGATTTTCACAACCATCCCTGGAGTAGTTCGGTTGGTTAACCCTCTTTGCCTTGCAAGAGATAACTCTGGAAACCAACTCTAGCTAGCTTAAGCAGAAAAGGTTAATTGTTCTAAAGATATGTGGCTATTATTAGGTATCAAAAAAGAATTTCTCCTTGGTCAAATTTGGGTCCAGTTCCCCCCCTAGAATCAGTCAATGTAGAGATCTGGGTGTGATGGTGCATACCTACTCAGCTACCTGGAAGGCTGAGGGAGAAGGATCATTTGGACAACATAGTGAAATCCCCTTTACACACACACACACACACACACACACTACCAGATGAATCTTTGCTATGGAGAAGGTCCCAATATATGTTCAGCAAATGTTTTTCAAATGGCTGAACAGTAGGGAGGATCCATTATCAACAATATCCAAATAGCAAAACCAACAGTAGATATCTCATTTGTTTGTTTCCTCTTTCTGAAAAAGAGTCAGCATTTATTTTGAGTTACCTTTCAAAAGCTCCATAAACAAAAATGTAAGACCTCATCTATCTTTAGTTTTATATATATGTGCATATTTAATATACATACATACATATTTATTCTCCCCCTCCAAAACCATTAGAGCTTTCCTCATCACAGTATTACAGAAAAGTAAAAAGCAGTTTCTCAATCTTGGCATTATTGATTTTTTGGGCTATATAACTCTGTCATGAGGGAGGGGCCGATCCTGTGCATTGTAGATATTTAACACCATCTCTGGTTAGATGATGGTAGCACTCTCCTCCTCCCTGTGGTGACAAGCAAAAATGTCTCCAGACATTGCCACATGTCTCTTGATCATCCTAGTCATGAGCCATTGGTATAAACACAGAATGCATTTGGAACAGAGAACAGGAAAGAAAAAAAAAAAATATATATATATATATATATATGGAATTTAATTGAGTTTGAGCAAAGAACAATTCACTAATCAGGCAGATCTCAAATCCAGAATAGGTTTAAAGCATTCCAGCAGAATTCCAGCCTGTAATGTGGTCAGATACCATTCATGGACAGGAAACAGAAGTGACACACAGAGAAGGCTGGATTGGCTGCAGCCTGGATGTGTCTGCCTTATTTGAACATGGTCTGATCAGTTGTCCACCCATGACTGACTGAGACTTGGCTGCTGTAGGGTCTTTCTATGAAGCCCAGGCTGGCCTTGAATTTGAGATGCTCCTCCTGCCTCAACCTTCTGAGTGCTGGCTTGACAGGCCTGAGCCACCATGCCCAATTTTAAATGGTTTTTAATCTTTTTGGGGGGAGATGGGGGATGATTTTAGGGATGATTCCCAGTACCCTTGTCCCCCCCAAAAAAGTAAAAATGAAGAAAATAAGAAAAATAAGGGCCAGGGATGCAGCTCAGTGGCGCAGCATCTGCCTGGCAAGCATGAGGCCCTGAGTTTGATTCCTGGTACCAGAAAAGAAAAACAAAAAAATTAGTTTATTTATAATATAGTAAAATGATAATACTGATATGGTGGAAAGAGAACTTAAACTGTTCTTTCAGGTTTTAGTCCAACCTCTGCTATGAACTAGCTATATGATTTGGGGCAGGTTACTTATAATTTTTGTTAGTTTTGGGTTGTAGGTGGGAGCAGGCTGTGTGAAGGACTGCATGGCCTTTGGGCTTCTTAGAGTCAATGGTCACTCATTTCAGTTCACCAAGGTCCACACTTACTGTTACTGTTATGACTTGTAGCTAGGTGTCCCTCCAAAGCCTCATGTAGTTATAGATGGGGTTTTTCCAGAGGTGGCTGAATCTAGGGTATGTGATTAAGAGTGCCCCTCCCTGGGTGTGGGTGGCACTACCCAAAGGTGGGGAGCCTAGATGGAATATAAAGGCAGGCTTGGTTGCTGCTGCTGCTACTTCGCTGCCTTCTGTCTGCCATGCTATGGACTGTTTCTCCTCTGTGACATCTCTCTGCCATGCCACCCTACCTTGGAGCCAGCCAACTATGGAATGAAACCTCTAGAAACTGTAAGCTGAAATAAACCTTTCCTCCTTTAATTTTGAGTGTTGGGTATCTTGTCTCAGCAATGAGAAAAGTAACTAAGACAATTGCTTAAAAACATTTCTTAGAGAGGATCTGGTGGCACATACCTGTAATCCCAGCACTCAGGAAGCTGAGACTGGAGGACTGCTGTGAGTTCGAGGCCAGCCTGGACTACATAGTGACACCCTGTCTGATTAGAAACAACCAAAATGTTCATCAATAGGAAACAGGTAAAATGATATATCCACTAGTATCTCCAAAATATATGTTAAGTGGAAAAACCAAGGTTCTGCACAGTACACAAAGGTTCTTGGGACTATGTGAGCACTTTATATATCTACAAGTGATATAAATCATATATACATATATAAGCATGCACACATATTTTTTGAGAGTGTGACACTATGTTGCCCTAGCTGACCTTGAACTTGCAATTCTCCTGCCTCAGCTTCCTGAGTACCTGGAACTACACCCAGCTTCATCATATGTTTATATGAGTGAAAGGACTGACAAAAATCTGATAACATTTAATGTCTGTCAGTAGAACTTTTCTGAAGAACTTTTCTTAGAACTTTTCTGAAGAATAGAATTAGGGAGGTAGGGAGATTTCACTTTCTGCCATTTTACTTTTTCATTTTTAAATTTTTATCTTTTGCCATGCTAAAATTGAATCCAGGGAACTTGTACATGCTAGGCAAGGCCTCTACCACTGAGCTATATCCTCAGTCCTCCATTTTTTTTATGTGCTGCAGACTGAATCCAGGGCTTCATGTGCTCTACCACTAAGCTATACCCCTCACCCCTGACATCTGTCCATCCTATAAAAATGTTCCTTTTTAAATTTGGAAAAAATAAACCAGACAAGTTTATTGTTTTTACAACACATTAACATCTCTTTATATATTCATTAAGACTAACGTAGTTTTTCTTTTCTTTGCAGGGTGACCAATTTCTACTTCTAGCCACACTATAGGTTCACTAATCTTTTTTTTTTTTTTTTTTGGTACCAGGGATCAAACTCTGCTCCTTGTGCTTGAGCAGCAGGGGGCGAAACCACTGAGCTAAATCCCCGGCCCACAATCATTTTTTTTTACTAATCAGTTTTTAAGAATCATTATTTACACAATAAAAATCTAGTCTTACTAGTACAATAGATTAGCCATTGTATAATAAAGCTTTTTTTGTAGATTCATACAAACACTCTTCTATGTCCTTTGTTCTACAGTACATTGAACTGACTTTTCTCTAGGTTCCTAACTACACTTCTACAGTTATTAAAACAACTCTGCTTATCTGATACCATAGATCTTAATAAAAAACGCGTGTCATATGGCTTACAAATTGCTAATCAAGCCCTCGCACATGCTAAGTAATGCTCTCTTGTTGAATTTCACCGACAGCCCTGTCATTACAGTAGGCTTATTTCGTTTATCATGTCCTTCTAATTGTGTCTCCTTCTCCAAACATCTGCAATGGATGAAGTCTTCAAGCTTGAGTTGACTTATTTATCTTTTTGAGACAGGGTCTCTCTGCGTAGTTCAGGTTGGCTTTGAACTCACTAGTATATAGCCGAGGCTGGCCTTCTGAGTGCTGGGATTACAGGTGTGTGGTAACCTTAACTTTTTTATTAAAACAGCTAAAATTGTTGGAAATTCTCATCCAAAGTGTTGTACCATTTTTTAAAAATCCACTTTAGCCAGGCATGATGACATGTGCCTCAAAGTCCAGCTAGTAGGGAGGCTGAAGCAGGAGAAGTACACGAACTCAAGAATCTAAGGCAAGCTTGGGCAATACACAGTGAGACTCTATCTTTAAAAAAAAAAAAAAAAAATTACACTCACTTTTGCCCATAAATGGAAATTCCAAAAGAAAGCTATAACTATATTAGAACATTCTCACATAAGCAGTCCCTATGAGGAAAGCAGTCCCAAATTAATTTATTAGATTATCATTAAAATATGCAATCAGGGAGTTGGGCATGGTGGTAATCCAGCACTCGGGAGGCTGAGGCAGGTGGATTGCAATGACTTCAAGGCCAGCCTGGACTACAGATCACAGATTGAGCACTTACTTAGCATGTTGAAGACCCGGGATTTGATCCCCAGCACTGCGAAAAATAATTTTTTTAGCTACAATGCCTGGCTAATATTGGAAAAAATAAAATAAAATAAACAAAGAGTCAGATTTCAAATCCTTGGAAAAATGGGAATCTCCAAAGTTGTGAATGTATATACCTACCGTAAGTTGTAACATATTATACCACATTCAGTGCATTAAACTTTCCTGAAAGCTGTTTCATAATGCAACGGTGAATACAAGGTGTTTTATTTTCCCATGTCAATTTCTGTAGGAATTTTACCTACATACATGTTCACCCAGTGTGTGAGACATCATTTTCCATTATGAGAGCTGGAATGGTTTCACAATAAGTTTATTTTATTTATTTATTTATTTATTTTTGGTACCAGGGATCAAACTCAGGACCTTGGAGCTTGCGAGGCAGGTGGCAGCACCACTGAGCTAAATCCCCGGTCCAATAAGTTTATTGTTAAAATAAATTTATTTTAAAGCAACATTCATTTGAAACAGTATAGTTTATTATGGTTTAAAATTCTGGCAATAAATATTATCAGAAGCTAGAAATTTGTCCACAGTGGAACTTGGCATAGGCAATCTAGTGAGTCTGTTGGTTTGTGATCGATCAGGACTCCAGATGGAAGTTTCCAAAATATGACTAAGTATTTGTGCTTTTATGAAGTAGGCAGCTAAATCTGCAGAAACACTGGTGGGTTCTGGAAAGAAAAAGGCAATTTTATTTGAGACGATATTTATAAATGTGATAGTCTAGAATGGAACAAGGGAATTGAGGAGTTGCTGATTCTCATTTTCTCTCTGCCTGTAAGATTTTAAGCAGAGAAGTGACCCATAGATTGATATGGAATATTTCGGCTTAAATTATAATTAACAAGCTTGAGAAGAAGGCTCGTTAGTCACTTTAATTTGGAAGGAAATCATAAATACCTTATAATACACCTCAATTATACATTAATTCCAGCTCTTCTATTCGTGTGACTTTGGAAAAATTACTTAATTTCTCAATATCAAATTTGTCCTTGAAGTGGGATAATAATGGTGCCCAATTCTGACCATTGTGACAAATGCCTATAAATCATTTAGTACCACGTATAGTGTATTATAAACATCTGATGGCTATGACTGTCTCATGTAAGTGTATTGATTCAAAGATCATACAAACTGAGGACAAAAACATGAATGAAACAAAGATAAATAAAATTCTTATAGTTTATGGGAGAAGGTACCATTTCTAAGAGGTACTGAGTCACTAGAGAGTCAAACTAAGATTTTTTTTTTTTTTACTTAAGTCTTTGGTAATACTGGGGACTGAACTTGGGGCTTTCTCAGAGCTACATTCTCAGCCCTTTTTAATTTTTTATTTATTTTCCAGTACTGGGGATCGAACTCAGGACCTTGGACTTGTGAAGCAGGCACGGTACCACTAAGCTAAATCCCTGGCACTTCATTGTTTCTTTTCTTTTCTTTTTTCTTTTTTTGGTACCAAGGATCGAACTCTGGTCCTTGCGCTTGCACAGCAGGCGGCAAAACCACTAAGCTAAATCCCCGGCCCCTGGCCCATCATTTTTAATTTTGAGACAGGGTCTCACTAAGTCACTAAGCTTTGGACTGGGCTTAAATTTGTGATCCTCCTGCATTAGCCTCCTAGAGTGCTGGGATTGCAGGTGTGCACCACTACATCTGGCTTAGGGGAATTTCTTTTATGATTACTGTAGATCGGAGTTTGTCAACCTCACACTATTGACACCTCAGGTCAAATCATTCTGTATTGTGGGAGTTGTCCTGTGCATTGTTAGGATGCTTAGCAACATCTTGGGCTCCTACCAAGAGCATTCCTCCCCACCCCTGTGTTTTGTAGCACTGCATACTCTCAATGTGAGCCTCAAAGACCAATCTGAGGTACAAGTTCCAAGCCAAGCACTCCCAAGGCCTTCTTCCCTGGCCAGTGGGCTTCCCAGACCTGGGCATCATGTACACTGAGGACCTTGGTATTGGAAATGTTAGGTACTGAAAGGTGTAGGGAGTCAGAAGCTCAATACATCACCTCTTCTTAGGCCAACAAACCAAGCTGAGAAGCCTAGGTACTCTGGGTGTGAGTGGGGCCAAGTGAAGTCTGCTTCTCCGTGTCTCCTTTCCTTTGGGCCAGTTGCTTTAGGTCAGATGAATGACTACAGATGATACAACTGGCATCAAAGAAACTGTACAGCCTACTCCAAGCAAATAAGGCAGATCAGGGCAGTTTTCTTTTGTGCTATGTAAGTTGACACATTATATCCTCAATTTTGCCTTTTGACCCACAAAGCCTAAGATATTTACTATTATTTCCCTTATAGAAAAAAAATGGATGGACTCCTGTTTTAGATAGGCTTTTTTTTTTTTTTGCGATACTGGGGATCGAACTCAGGACCTTGCATTTGTGAGGTGCGGCGCCACTGAGCTAAATCCCCAGCCCTAGATAGGCATTTATCTTACCACTAACACAGACAAAGTGTTACAGCTTTGTGTTTATTCTATATAATGTCTATTTGTCTCTATAGACACAAAAGTTATATACTAGAAAATAAACATTTGAAAGTGTTTTGCAAGATGAGTACCCACGGAGCCTACATTTTGTTCAGGAACTGTTGTTAACATCTAAGAGGTCTATTTTCAGTTTATAACTTAATGAGAGAGACCTTAGCAATTAATCTCTATTTTTGGCCTACCACCATTACTTTACAGCAGAGGCCAAAGGTAGAATTGGAAACTACGAACACAACACAAGCCTGCTTAAAGCCCTTCAAAGGTTTCCCAGATGCTTATAGGATTAATGGTATTCCCTGGAAAGATCCTTCACCATCTAGCCCCATTTAACTCCCTGAATTCACCTTCAGACACTCCGTATTCCTTTCCCTCTCCAACCTCCAAGTCTCAATCACCTGTGACCAGCATCAGGGATTCCTTCCCAGGTAACATTCTCAAGAAGCCACAGGGTACAGACCAGTGGTGGTGAACCTATGGCACACGTGCCACAGTGGGCATGCAGAGCTCTCTCTGTCCATCAGCAAACCAGGTCACTCCAGCATCGCAGCATTCTGTGTTGGCACTTTACAAAAAATGAGTGCTTTTGGGTTACATTTTGGTCTCTAAAAGGTTCACCATCATTGCTGTACACTGTTAAATCTTTTCATTGATGCTTTTCCCTTCACATGGAATGTTCTTCCCCATCCTCTTCAGTACCACAGTGTGGTAGTTATTCCTGGGTCTGTCTGCCTTGACAGATAGTGAGTGCTAGGAATACAGGGACTTTATATTTGTCTCTGAAATCCCCACTAGGGAGTGCCTAATGTAATGCCTGGCACTTGCTAAGAATTCTATAAATACTTGACCAGTTAATTATTTGAAGGGCACTGTGTGGCTCATCCTGTCAAAAAAGATAATTTTTTCTGCTGGTCTGGTAAAGAATCTACTCTTCTCTCCTTGGCAAAACTTCTCTCCTCTTTAGTTATTCCTTTAATTTAGAGAACAAGGCATACAACTCTTTTGGATGGCAAGATATGCATCCTTTTATCTTTATGCTAACATTGTTCCTGACACTTAGTAAGTGTTCAAGTCTCTAACAATTGCATGGAGAATTATTTCAATCATATAAATTACCCCAAAGACTAGAGTTAAGGGAGGGGTGACATCAAACAATAACACTAAGTCCTTTCCTTCCGGAATTAGGGTTTGTTGGTGTCTTGCTCCTTTCATTCTTTTCTTTTTCTTTCTTTCTTTCTTTCTTTCTTTTTTTTTTTTGTGGTGCTGGGAATTGAACTCAGGGTCTTGAGCATGCTAATTATGCCACTAAGCTATGTTCAGCCCCCAACATTCTCTATTTTTCAAAATAGACAAACCATTAAGTAACTGAATGTATTTCATGTTAGAATTTTAAGTGTTCAATTCCAGACTCCTAGATGTTAACATTTATTTGTAGTATTTTGTGTAAGTTCTTGAATAGAACTTGGGACCAAGAACAAAAAAAATCCAAGTGTTCAAAACAGCCAAAACACTTACATTTTGGCCCTAAAGATTATCTATAGAGTATGTTCATTTATTCTTCTACAGAGAAAGCATATACACTGTCTTTTTTTTTTTTTTGGTACTGGGGATCGAACTCAGGACTTCACTTGCCAGGCAGGCATGGTGCCACTGAGTTAAATCCCCAGCCCTACATTGTCGTAAAGGAGAGCTAAAGAAAACTGTAAGGAGATAATGAGTTTGACTTCTACCTGATCAGTGTTCTCCCTTATTGGAATGAAACCAACAATTATGAAATAAAGATGAATATCTTCCTGGATAGTATGTTAGTACAGTTTAAATAACAAGGAGTACACCATACTACTATGTCCTATACCCCAGAGCAGTTAACTTTTGAAACAGGGCTGGAGAATGAAAATTGATGCAGAAATCCATGCACAGCAATATCATTATGATCACTTAACCCACAGAGAAGCAGGGCCACCAATTCTGACTGTCACAAGACCTTTTCAATTTGGAGAGGTAAGTGGCCTTCTTCAGCAACCTTATCCATAAATCCACGAAACAGGTACCACAAGGGTTTTGCAGTTTAGTAGAAAGGCCATGTGACAATATGTATAGCTGGGCCGGGGATTTAGCTCAGTGGTTTCACTGCCTGCTGTGCAAGCGCAAGGACCCGAGTTTGATCCCCGGTACCAAAAAAAGCAAAAAAAAAAGGACAATATGTATAGCTAAATGTTTTCCAAACCTGAGAATCATTTGAGTTTCACTTGATCAATGATCTCTTACTTTTAAATTGATTCATGTAAAACATTTTTATTTAAATAAATTTATTTTCAAAAAGCAACTATCACTGTTTAAACAAAAAAACCAGTATCACTTGCATTAAGTAGAAGTAAATCCACTGTAATAAGTTTGTGAACATGAAATGTTATTAAATTCTAGCTGAGTGCACTTTTTGCCCACTGAAGAATGAGAGAGGTATTAAAGATCACTACCCCAAACTAAGGACAAGCCCCCCTGATAAAATTAAAATGACTGAAAAAAGAATAACTTTCCCGTCCGAAGACAATGTCATTCAATGCTGTATCCCTGTACCACTTGAAGCTGTCTTGTTCCCAAAACCTTGCAGAAGTCAAATTTCCCACCCATCCACCCCAGACCTTATAGCCTCCAAAATGATGTCATTATTCCTCACTTTCTCCCTGTCTCTGGTAGAGTAGGCAAAACCTTAGCCTTCATCCACTCAGAGCACTCCAAACAGCTAATCCCTGAAGGCCAAAGCTACTTCCCTTCCACTTAATTTTTTTTTTTTTGGATAGGAGGAGTTGAGGAAACCACATAACATAGACCTGAAATGATTAAAGGTAATGTAGTTGACTTTTTCTCCAGAGGTACTTACTTGGCAGAGGTCTGGTCAGCCAGGCAAATGGCTGGGGTCTGGTCCCTACAGGAGTGGGTGACTCTTCTTCACTGCCCCAGATTCTGGGGTGCTCTCAGAGGGGCTGGACTGCTGGGTCTCAGGAGCAGAAGCTGCACCCTCAGGAAACTTCTGATATAGCTTCTGGCTGGGTAGTGGCAGAACCTCCAAATCCTGAGCAACTGGCTCCCTAGGAACCTCCAGGATGCTTGCAGACTGATTTGGAGAAATCTCCTGGACTGAAGGGCTGCTGTGGTAGGTCTGCTGAGTGGGAAGGAAGGGCTGAAAGTCCTGGACAGCCTGTGAGACCCGTGGATCCACAGTTTGAAAAGGCATCACTGGGACGTGGGTGGCCATAGCCTGACTTCCAGATGCTCGAACAGTTGGAGGCTGAGTTTGAAAAATCCAAGGAAGATTCCAGGGCTGGCTTTCAGAGGCCTCGTGGACCTGGAAGGGTCTCGGAGGAGACACAGGCATCACCGGGTGGCTCTGAAAGGCCACGGGGGCTGCAGGAAGGCTCAAGGAAAGGTTAACGGGAGGCTGGATCTTAGAGGCCACAGACACGGCAGGCTGGCTCCTAGTAGTGAGAGGTGGCTGAGCAGAGACCAAGAGGGCCACAGAGGGACTCTCTGAGGCCACGATAGCAGAAGACAGGGGCTGGTCCAGATGGGATGGTGGGAACACAGGCCCCATCGGAAGGGTCAGCCCACCACCAGCTTCAGGGCCCTGGGAGCCAACTGCCTCTGGATTGTTACCATCTTCAGGCTTGGGGCCCAAATTCTCTTTGCAGATTTCTTGAGAGTCACTGCTGTCCTTGACGCTTTCCCTTCCATCTTTGCCCTTGCTCTCGTCTTCCAGGCCCGCTACAGTCATGGTCAGGATTGCCCTCCTCTTCAGGGACCTCCGCAGGTGCCGCCGCTGGATCCGGAAGGTGTTGGAGATGCTCCCGATGGTCCAGGAGAAGCGGTGGCTGACGCTCTGGTGAAGAGTTTCGGCCGTGGGGCCGGGGGGCATATGGGAGCCGTTCTTGGAGGACTCTTCGGGAAGCAGCTCTATGTTGCCGGTGTACCAGGAGATCCACCAGAGCAGGCTGAGGAAGATGATGATGGAACCCAGGTACAGCAGCATGTCGTAGAAGAGCAGGTCCGCGAAGACGCCGGTGAACAGCACCGCCACGCCCACCGTGTCGAAGACGACGCCCAGCCAAAAGAAATGCTTGCAGCGGCCCAGGCTCGACCGCTTACCCGTCGAATCCACGCTGGTTCGTGAAGGCTCCATGGCCTCCCACTGTCTCCACCACCACCACCGTCGGAGGAGACCAGGCCAGGCGCAACGCCACAGGCCGGCTGGGGCGGGGGGGGGGGGGGGGCGCTGGGTCCCCATGGCAACGCAAGGGGCAGGGTGCGAGAAGGGAGGGAAGTTAGGCCCCACCCTAGCCCAGCGAGAGGAAAAAAGGCGTGGGCTGGGACAGGCGCGCCTGCGCGATGCTCCCCCCCACCCCGCCCTTTCTGCGCGTGCGCAGTGTTCTCCACGGGTTCCCTGGGCTGTCTCCCAGCGGCGGTGAGACAGTGAGAATACTCTTCCGGTGGGTCGGGGCAATGGTGTCTACAGATGTATATGGACTTCTCACGCGCCCCACCTTCCTGGGTGAGACCCTGAAGAGAGCAAAGGGCAAGGACGTTCCTCTAGTGATGTTCTAACAGCTGGAGTGCAGCTGGTTCCCAGGCAGTCACTTTCCAAAGTGCCTCAATTAGGGTCTATGGTTATGTGAGTGTTTTCTTTTTTTCTTTGCGGTAGTGAGAATTGAATCCAGGGCATGTTCTCTGAGCTGCATCCCCAGCCCCACCCCCCCCTTGACAATGACAGGAGCCCCTCCCCCAGCAGGATAAGTCCAACAGCAGCTTCTCAGGGGTGCTCTTTTCTCATTGCTCAACATGATGCTGTCTGCTGATCACTCACGATGGGTCAGGACCAAAACACTTCGTGGTCTCAAATTCATTTTAGTCTGAAAACAACTCTGCGTTTTAGGTACTGCTGCCTGCTTATATCTGCTTTGGGCAAATTCCTGACTCTGTGTACCTGGTTATCTCTGTGTGATGGGGATCCTAATACTGAAACCTCACAAGGCTTTTGTGAGGAATCAGATAATGCATCTAAAGGGTGGTGTCAGTCTATCAGTGTACAGTGTACTTGTCAGCTACTACTGTGTAACAAGCAACCCTGAACCACCATGGTTAGGTAGCAATCATTTTGTTAACTCAAGATTCTACAGTCCCTCTCCAGCTGAGTCAGATCCCTTCCAGCTAGTTTCCAGCCAGATGTGTGACTGGAGTGGACAAGAGGTCCAAGGAAGGCTTCCCTCATGTCCTGAGAACTGTGATGTCCCCCACACCCTGGCCCTTCACATGGCTGCTTGGATTTCTGCCTGCCATGATGGGCTTGGAGGAACCAGGCAGACTTTTCAGCAGGTGGCTGGGGCCCTAGGGGCATCAATCTGCAAGAGCTACAGTCTCCTTGAGTCACTCAGCCTTGCTTCCACCCCATTCCAGTGGTCACCCAGGTCCCAGGGCCTCAGGGGACAGGAGGGACAGCCTCCTGTGCAAAGCTCTGTCACACATAGATCAGTACACGTCAGCATCAGTGTCCATGTCACTGTTTCTGTTTCATTCCCTGCTTTATGGAAGAAGAAAAGCCAGAGAGGCTGTACCCGTGTCCGGGGACACACAGTCAGCAGCACTGCTGGGATCTGAACCCAGGTTTGCTTGGCCCCAAAGCCCATCATCCCAACCCCCTTCCTTCATTGCCTCCCTGGGGGCTCATGCTCGGTAGAAACGATCCTGTGACAGCCTCCAGAGTGGGGATTGGAACTTGCCTCTTAGGAGCTGCCTGTCACATGAGGCAGAGAAATCCCATGCTGGGGGGATGGCGCTGCCCTTCACCACCCCTTCCCTTTCCTCCTAGGCTCTGGCTGTTTTCCAAAGCGCTGCTGGACCAGAGCACAGCCCAGCTCATCCTCAGGGTGACAGAGGCGCGCAGGGGTGGCCAGGTCCTGAGCCTGTGGAGCCAAGCCCGGCACTCGGTGGCTGGCTGGGCTGCACTGCCCCACCTGCTGAGCCTCAGGGGCATGCTGAAGCGGAAGGAGGTGCTCCGAGAAGGTGCTGGTCCCAGGGCATGGGCTGGGGTCGTGGGTGAGCACTGTGCATGGAGCCTTGGGTAGATTAAACCCTACACAAGTCCATTGATGCTCTATTCCGGGGCCTCATACTGCACATCAGGCAGGTGTAGATAAAGGGGTGGAGATTATCTCCCTCTTCTCCTGACAGAAAATCTGCTGTCTCCAAACTGTACAGGTTCCCTTGTGCAGGACTTGTCAGAGCCTTTAACATGCTAATGGGCATGGTGTATCTCCTGTGGGGAGAGCTGGGTGCAGAGTTTCCCTAGCATATTTTTTTTCTAATATAGGTTGAGTAGCCCTAATCTAAAATGCTTTGGACCAAAAGTGTTTCATATTTCAGTCTTTTGGATTTTAGAATATTTGCATAGATTTTATCAGTTGAATATCCCTAACCCTCAAATCTGAAATGTTTTGGAATGGGAAAGAGCTTGAGTCTCATGTCAGTGCTCAAGGCGTTTTAGTTTTTTGTTTTTGTTTTTTGGTACCGGGAATTGAACTAGGGACCTTGCTATTTCGAGGCAGGCACCAGAACCAATGAGCTAAATCCCCGGCCCACTCAAGGCATTCTAAATCTTGGGAGCATTTCGGATTTATGATTTTTGGTCTGGTGCTCTGTTGTACTTTTTTATTTTGACATAATTTTAGATGTATGGGAAGTCACGAGAATAGTACAAAGAATCCCTTAGCCCTTTTACCCAGATTCGCTAGGTGCTAACATATTTCTTTTACTATTCTCATATTCATATTTTCTTTCTATATTTACAGAGTCAGTCCACAAATTACATCAATACTCATGATACCCTGTGTATAATATTTAGTTTCAGAAGTGTGATTTTGCCATCATAAAGGACCTTTGTTCCTAAACATTTCAGCATTTGTTTCCTACACATAGACTTCCTCTTGTATTCCACAGTTCCACTAACAGAATCACAAAATGCACACGAGTACAGTGCTGTTCTCCGATCTACCTGAAAGACCCTAGTTAGCAAGACTGACTCCATATTGCTGCTTGACCCACCTGCCTGCCCTTTAGATGAACTCAGAAGGAGGAAACTTAAAAACCTCCCCTTAGAAAGTCTTCTTAGAAATAACAATCAATCAACTATTGTTTTACAAATGTCCTAACACCAGGACGTTCCGCTTCTGTACCTTTTGCTTGCTTTACTAGTTCTATCCCATAGGGGGCCTAGAAACTGCTGGCCTCAAAGGTGTATAAAACATGTTTGTCTTCCCCCAGTCGGGGCTGGAGTCCGATGCTCGGCTCGGGTCCCGGCCGGTAATAAACTCCTGTGTGGATTTAATATCCGTCTCTGGTTGGTTCTTTCCCACTGGGTGCAACATACTGGCCTTATTCAGTTTCCGCCCATTGTCCTGTTAGGTCCTTAACGTTCTTTATAGTAGAAGACAATCACAGATCATGCCTCGTAGTGTTCAATTGTGCAGTTTCCTGTCTCTTTTATTCTGGAGCAGTTCCCGTATTTACTTCTCTCTTCATGATTTTACATTTGGGCTTTGTTTTGTTTTGCCCAGGGCCTCGTGCTTGTGTGCCAGGTGAGGAGGGCTTTACCCCCACCCTCCGCGTGTCCCCCGCTGGGTGCTTACGTTTCTAGAGTTGGCTGTGCTCACTCTGTGGAATTTCCCTTCCTGGGCTCCACTGGACACTTCCTGGGGCCTGCATTCAGAATGCCACAGAAGTAACAGTCCTGTCGGGAGGCCAGGAGGTCCCTCTGTCCCAGTACTGGTGCCTTAGCCTTGATCCCTTAGGCTGATGTCTGCTAGGTTTCTCCACTGTAAAGCTCTGATTTTTTTCCTGTGTAAAGTATAAGTAACTTGTGGCAAGAGAGTTTGAGGTCGTGTAAATGTTTTGTGTCTTCATTAGATCGTAACCCATGAGCTTGAGTGGCCTCTGGTAAATCTGGTCTGAACCTGTCATTTCTGACGAGGGGCCGAGTGGTGACTCTGGAGCTTTGTTGGGTTTTGATTTATTACATATACAGTAGGAAGAGCTTTCCCTTCCTACCCCCTTCCTCCTTCCCTCCCTTCCTCCTTTGTTCCCTTTCTTTAGTAGGGTTGTATTTTTTTTTTTTTTTTTGGTACCAGGGATTGAACTCGGGACCTTGAGCTTTCGAGGCAGACGATGGCACCACTGAGCTAAATCCTCAACCCTCCCTTTCTTTAGTAAACATGTACTCATGTTGTTGTTTCATTCTTATTTTATTCAATAATCTGTTACCATTCCCACTAATTTCCAAGCTCAGTTATCCCCAATTTGGCCAAAAAGGAGACCCTTCAAAAGGGCTCTGCGACATCATGGTGACTCATGGTGAATGTTTACATCTAAAAATTTATTAGAGTAAAAGACACATCGCCATTAATTCTCCCCCTCGGCTTGAAACACGCTCATTTCATCATTTTTGCTACTTTCTGAAGCGGTTCTGGGATACCCTCCTTCTTGAGTGTCTCTAGTTGTCCTGTGGTGGCTACCTCAATGTCCTGAATCGATTCAGAATATTGATCTTCCATGGTCAGCTTCACTTTGGAGAAGAGCCAGAAGTTTATGGTGCCAGATCTGGTGAATAAGGTGGATGCCTTTTGGCTGGACGGCACTCAGCAGCAGCATTCACTGTGCTTCTGATCCCGAAAAAGGACTTCCAGAACTGCTTCAGAAAGTGGCAAGAACGATGGGATAAATGTGTTTGAAGGGAAGGGAATGTTCTGAGGGGGTTTCATGGCAATGTATCTTACTGTAATAATTTTTAAATTTAAATGTGCCATATTTTTAAAATTAGTACATGTAAAATTTGTTTATGGTGAAATATACAGACCTTGAGTGTAGCATACAAGCCTCAAACGTTTGAACAGAGTTCTGATGGCTGCACACCCCCTGAAACCTAAACCCCCAACAAGATAGAAGACATTGCCAAGCCCTCAAAAAGCCCCTTGGTCCCCTTCCTTGTCATCTCCACCCCACCATCCAGGGGCTCCTGCTCTGAATGTCTTCATCGTACATTAATTTCGTCTGTCGTAAAACTTCATGTAAATAGAAAACAGAATATATATTCTTTTCACGTGGTGTGATGTTTTAGGTTCACCCACATTCCTCCGTGCTACTAGCAGTCCCTTCATATTGCTGAGTCACCACTTAAGGATGCTATGGTCAGCAGTGGACCCATGTATGATGGCAGACCATGAAGTTATGTTTCCCGGATGTCCTCGTCATCTTAGTCTGTGAAGGACTGACCCTC